TGTTAATATACTGTATATATTGTCGTGGTTAATGAGAAGATATATATTTTGCTTATCATCGCCCGGCCCTACCATACAGTAAAAACTGAACATTTCATTGTAACCAAAATATGGATTGTCATTATGGTAAATTATCCAAATAACAATTGATCGAATAAAAGGATACAAGACAAACATATTTGTGAGTTGATGAGAGATTTTAAAACTGGTCAAAATAAAAGTTTTAGTGTTTGTCTTCACGGACTCCATTAATATTTGGAGTTCTTTGAGAAACTATACACAGTGCCTTGCAAAAGTATTCGGCCCCCCTGAACCTTTCAACATTTTGCCACATTTCAGGCTTCAAACATAAAGATATAAAAATATATTTTTTCGTCAAGAATCAACAACAAGTTAACCCGCTCCAGTTTGCTACAGACAGAACAGGAGTGTGGAGGATGCCATCTCCTTTGCTCTGAACTCTGTCTACAGTCACTTGGACACTAGTAAATCTGTGGCCAGAATGCTTTTCATCGATTATAGCTCTGCTTTTAACTGCCTTGTCCCAGGTAAACTGATTGAAAAACTCATGTCTCTGGGTTTAAGTGTTGCCATGTGTAAATGGATTTTTAGCTTTTTAACTGACAGATCTCAGAGAGTGAAAATCAATGACTGTTTTTCTGATGTTGTTTCTGTGAGCACTGGTTCTCCTCAGGGATGTATTTTGAGTCCTTTGCTTTTTACTTTGTACACTCACGATTGTGTGTCCTCCTCTGACTCAAACTTGATCATCAAATATGCTGATGACACCACCATCATCGGTCTCATCAGTGACACTGATGAATCCTCTTATAGAGCAGAGATAAAAATGTGGTTCAGTGGAGTCAAACTAACAACCTCCAGTTGAACGCATCCAAAACATGTGAACTGGTCACGACTTCAGTCGCAATAGTTCTCATTTGCCTGTCGTAATCGACAACTCCCAGGTGCAGATCGTAGAGGAGCAAGTTTCTGGGTTTAACTCTGTCTAACCTGAAATGGGTTAAAAACACTGACCGAGTCGTTAAGAAAGCTCGTCAGCGTCTCTACTTTCTGCGTAAACTTAGAGAATTTACCACTAACTCTAAGATTGTGCTTAACTTTTATGGCTGCACCATTGAGAGTTTACTTGTTGGTTCTGTGTCTGTGTGGTTTGGAAACATCACAGATAAAGAAAAGAGAGCTTTAAACAAGGTGCTCCGCTCTGCAAAGAGGACCGTGGGCTGTGAGCTTCCTGTTCTGGAGGTTCTTTATAAATCCAGACTTTTAAACAAAGCTCTTAGGATTGTCAATGACTCTTCTGGCCACCCTGGGAAAGCCATGTTCCAGCTTCTTCCCTCTGGCAGAAGATATCGCTCTCTGAGATGCAGGACATCTCGTTACGCTAACAGTTTTTATCCACAGGCTGTTATCAGTGTGAACAGAGCACTTTAATGATTTGCACTTGTTTTGAAACTGTTTTAGTCGATCCATTTCACAGTGACATTTGTTTACTGTTTTATTTGTTTTATTTCTGTCTTTTAATGTTGTTTTATGTCTGTATTTGTCTGTGCACACTGGAGACTTTTGCTAATGTATTCCAATGTGTTTTTTTTACTGCAAATGGCAAATAAAACTGAATCTGACAAGTGGGACACTATCGTGAAGTGGAACGAAATGTATTGGATAATTTAAACTGCGCTAATACTTTGTAGCGCCACCTTTTGCTGCAATTACAGCTGCAAGTTGCTTGGGGTATGTCTATCAGTTTTGCACATCGAGAGACTGGAATTCTTTCCCATTCTTCCTTGCAAAACAGCTGGAGCTCAGTGAGGTTGGATGGAGAGCGTTTGAACAGCAGTCTTCAGCTCTTTCCACAGATTCTCGATTGGATTCAGGTCTGGACTTTGACTTGGCCATTCTAACACCTGGATACGTCTATTTGTGAACCATTCCATTGTAGATTTGGCTTTATGTTTTGGATCATTGTCCTGTTGGAAGATAAATCTCCGTCTCAGTCTCAGGTCTTTTGCAGACTCCAACAGGTTTTCTTCCAGAATGGTCCTGTATTTGGCTCCATCCATCTTCCCATCCATTTTAGCCATCTTCCCTGTCCCTGCTGAAGAAAAGCAGGCCCAAAGCATGATGCTGCCACCACCATGTTTGACAGTGGGGATGGTGTGTTCAGGGTGATGAGCTGTGTTGCTTTTACGCCAAACATATCGTTTTGCATTGTAGCCAAAAAGTTCGATTTTGGTTTCATCTGACCAGAGCACCTTCTTCCACATGTTTAGTGTGTCTCCCAGGTGGCTTGTGGCAAACTTTAAACAAGACTTTTTATGGATATCTTTGAGAAATGGCTTTCTTCTTGCCACTCTTCCATAAAGGCCAGATTTGTGCAGTGCACGACTGATTGTTGTCCTATGGACAGACTCTCCCACCTCAGCTGTAGTTATCTGCAGTTCATCCAGAGTGATCATGGGCCTCTTGGCTGCATCTCTGATCAGTCTTCTCCTTGTTTGAGATGAAAGTTTGGAGGGACGGCCGGGTCTTGGTAGATTTGCAGTGGTCTGATACTCCTTCCATTTCAATATAACTGCTTGCACAGTGCTCCTTGAGATGTTTAAAGCTTGGGAAATCTTTTTGTATCCAAATCTGGCTTTAAACTTCTCCACAACAGTATCTCGGACCTGCCTGGTGTGTTCCTTTGTCTTCATGGTTCTCTCTGCGCTTTAAACAGAACCCTGAGACTATCAAAGAGCAGGTGCATTTATACGGAGACTTGATTACACACAGGTGCATTATATTTATCATCATCAGTCATTTAGGACAACATTGGATCATTCAAAGATCCTCACTGAACTTCTGGACTGAGTTTGCTGCACTGAAAGTAAAGGGGCCGAATAATATTGCACGCCCCACTTTTCAGTTTTTTATTTGTTAAAAAAAGTTAAAATTATACAATTGTGTCCCACTTGTTGTTGATTCATGACAAAAAATTAAAATTGTATATCTTTATGTTTGAAGCCTGAAATATGGCGAAATGTTGAAAGGTTCAAGGGGGGTGAATACTTTCGCAAGGTACTGTAAGTTATAAACTGTGGGAAAGAACTTTTCACGTCCATGATGACTTTGTAACAAACAGGATTAAGCCATTGGTGACAGAAAACACTAGCCTGGTCTTACCACACCATAGTACTAATTACATTTGGTACTAAGGTCTGGATTTGCTCCATTGGCTCCGTTAACAGGTGGGAGGGGCTAACTCCTTTTGCAGATTGAAACTATCTGAGTTTACCGTGACGTAAACTCAGATCCGTGATGTCCGAGTGAGTCGTTAGCATTTAGCCTAGCTTTAGCCATCTCCTTTGCCGCTAACGGAGCCCGTGGGGAGTAGCGCTAGGCCTGTCACGATAACAAATTTTGCTGGACGATTAATTGTCTCAGAAATTATTGCGATAAGCGATTATATTGTCGTTCTGAGATCATTTGCATCGATTACAATGATAATGCAGGTACACCTTTTCAAAGAGAAATAAACTTTTATTTTTAACGAATATTTAACGGTATAAAACAATAAATTAACAAACAACGGCGTGCCGTGGGCGGCACGGTGGCTGAGTGGATAGCACTCTCGCCTCTCAGCAAGAAGATCCTGGGTTCGAATCCCGGTTGGACCAGGGCCTTTCTGAGTGGAGTTTGCATGTTCTCCCCGTGTCTGCGTAGGTTTCCTCCGGGTGCTCCGGTTTACCCTACCACTAAAAATATGTACAATAGGTCTGGCATGTGCCTCCTGTACTGGCGACCCCGCTCCCAAAAATAACAATTCTAAACCGCTTTGAGACTCCGGTGTGCAGTGAAAAGTGAAAACTACTACTACTACTACAACCAAAAACAATAAATAAAATAGACTCAGTCTCTTAACAAAAAATGACCAGGAATAAAACTGCCAGGACCTTTGTAAAGAAAATATGAAACAGATGCCTCAAATGTCAATAATTTCTCAGACTTTATGGCAGATTACGAGAAAGAAATACCAACATGTTGACTTTGTGTGGCTTGAGACAGGATCTCTCAGGAGTAGTCCCACCTCCCCACACACCAGGCGAATGACAAGTGACTGACATGTGGGTTCACCAATGGGGCGTACAGAAGTCCTGCTGCGGTAGCGCCCACCGGAAGTAGCGGGGCGGGCTTTGATGCTAACAGCTAAGCTAGCGGGTTTTTTGTGTAAAGTTCTACTCCAAGAATGCAAGTCTGCAGCATCTCTGTGTTCAGAGACCTTCTAGAGACTTTATATAACAGCAGTATGTGTTCACGGAGGTGCGCCATAAGTTTATTTTATTGGTACGGTACGGTACTTCTGCATCGGCGAACACGCCAACGCTAGCTGCGCTAGTATAGTCACTAATCAAGCCTGAATGAGAACTCAGCTGCCGGCATATGTTCACAACTACTGTGTCCCCCATGGTCAATCCTGGTTAAGTCCTGGTTTAGGTCCTGTTTTGGCTGTATTTTGTATTTTTGAGTAATTTCCGTCTGCTTGATAGACCGCTAATGTTCCCGTGACCACTTTGCGGCTCTCTGACCCGAGAGAGACGGGGAAAACAAACAAGCATGCAAATGGATTTATCGCGGCCAGAAAAGTTATTGAGCAAATTTTATTTATCGTGCGATTTATTGACTATCGCGACAGGCCTAAGTAGCGCCACAATCTTTGACAGCGATTACATTTGCTAAACATTTCTCTTGCTCCGGCTTCAGTTTCGTTCGACGCAAACTCTTGACATCACCCACATCTAACTACAACACCCGCCTCCCGCGCTCGCTGATTGGTTGGATGGAATTCAACCGATTGTAATCGCAAACACAGGGACCAGACCCAGACGTTAACTGCAGGAAATGATCATTGAGCGGAGAGTACGGATGGATAAGGCCAGGATAAGAAAACGCCACAATCTTGATGATTATTGACATATGGTTTGTGACCTATGGTATGTGACCTATGGTATGTGACCTATCTCACCACACTGGATCAACCCTGAGGTGACATCTGCATTTAAAGTTGAGTTTGAGTGTATTGCGTCTTACCCATAACTCTGGTGTGAAGTTTGACCTTGACACAGACGTGTTCAGTGGTTTCACTGAGCAGCAGCACCTCTTCACACAACACGCCCTCCTGCTGTGCCATGTACTCGCAGGTCACCCTCAGCCCCCCTGCACAGACAAGCTCTTTACAAACATGCATCTTCACTGGTTCTGTACACATATTATGTATTTCATTTGGCCATTACAATAATAACGAAAGCATTTAATTTCTCAAATTGTGGAATATGAAATTATTATCATAAGGAGAACATTATTAGTGAAATAAGTGAAGGGTAGCCCTGTTTCCAGCAGAAGGATTTTTTTTGTCTTTCAAAACTAAAACAAATTCCAGCTGCAAGTACAGCAATGCCATTGTAAATAATGTAATTTGACCTGAGAAAATACCAAAAATAATGTATGGATGATACTTTTTTTTTTTTTTTTAAGAAATAGAAAATAGCTATGAGTGTGATAGTGTGGAAGGTGGACACACCTGCATTCTTGGAGGTCTTTACACCAAAAACTGCTAGCTTAATCCCGTTAGCATCAATGGCCGTAGGTCAAATTTTCTAAAATGCATTCAAGCGGGCAGTGTGAACATAGCTTTACACTGACATCTAGTGGACAAATGTAATCATTGCAGCTTCTGAGTAACAATAATAATCACTGTTCCACCATCAATACAACCCCAAAACTGGATAGAGTAGGTTTCATTTATTTAATTGTTTTAAAATCAATTTAAAGTTATTCTTTACGTTTTAATTTATTTTACAATAACAAAATAATGTACCGGTAATGTCTACGTAATCTATACATTCAATTCAAGCCGTTGTGTGTGTTCAGGGCAATGCTGTAGACATGAGAGTACAGCTGACTCGTAACAAACAGGCTTTTATTGAACACAAGGGGAGAGGATATTACAGCTGTGACAAAGACAATAAACAGCACGGCCTGGTGCAAAGTGGACACCGTCAGTCTTTGGAGTATCGATTCAGATAAGACATTACATCAGTCATTTTTGCACACTTTCCACTTTTCACTGCTCAACTGACAAAGTCAGTTATTAGACATAATCATATTCCATGCATCTGTGCAATAATGGCAGAATGTGCAATATGAGACCACATGGGTCCAAGGATATGCATCGAAACGCTCTGAACCAATGCGAGGCTGGTGTTCTGTCGGTGGTCTGCCCGTCGAGATGAGCTGCATCAGCTGTTAATGATGTAATGCAAACCTGCGCATTTTAAATATGAACGAATTAAGACACAAATGTCACTTTTAATGCATTTTGAGGCTTCCATGTTGTTGTGTGTTTTAAGAGTCAAAGTTTGGTTTAAGTAGTAACTGCTCCTGTGAAACCACACTGCTGCTGTGTGATAGCAGGTACTGCTAAGGTAACAACATGGAAGCATCAACATCCCATCTCAAAATACATTAAAAGTGACATTTGTGTCTTAATTTGTTCATATTTAAACTTTTTACACAATTCACGGCCTTTATCTCCGCCATCTTGGATTGCTTTGGCTGTCCTGAAACGCAGGACAGCCAAAAGGTTTGCATTATCATAAACAGCTGAGGCAGCTCATCTCGACGGGCAGACCACCGACAGAACACCGGGAAATTTATTGAGCCAATGAAATGCTTCAAAACACTGACACAGCTGATACGACATATGTCACGTGACCGGCTTGTTTTGATACTCAGTTTTTCGAAGCAGTTTGCTTCAGGAAGAGCAACACAAGATCCAGAGCGTCGCTATTGTTTGTCCATCACTACTAGATGTTCTAATCACTACAGTATTTTTGGCTTCCAATCCCAATTGTTAAACTTCAAATCTGATCCAATGCTTTCTATCATTGGTAATCCATGTACCCTTCGATCATTAGTTATTCCGTTTCAAAATAAAATCATAAAATCAAAATTTCCATTCGTTTATTGTTCTTTTCCTTTTCTAAACTTGAATAAAAAAATAAATCCTTTATGCTTCAATATCAATGTGTTTGTTTTGGCTCTAGTTTAAAATTCTCAAAAGAATTATGGCATTACTATTATTTAGTTTTATTATTATTTGCGACACCGGAAGAGAGAAGAGACCTCGCGGGCTCCTCAAAGCCGAGCCAGGGGGGCTACAGACGCGGGGGTGGGACCCAGGGACTCCCCTGGTCCCGGGGCACCCGCGGTGTGAATTTGACGCGCGGGGGACAAAGGACCAGAAAGTTATGGCCCTTGGAAACCACCGGGGGACCGCACGCCTCCCATCCGCCCAAGAGCGCTCCTTCTGGGGGAGGAGAGGACCGTAGCAGCAGGGTCAGGAGGCACGCTGCTCCATACCCCCGTGCTTACGGCCATACCACCTTGGGAAGCTAGGCAAGGTCGGGCCTGGTTAGTACTTGGATGGGAGACCGCCTGGGAATACCAGGTGCTGTAAGCATTTTGCCCCTGGAGCTCGGGCCTGGGGGCGAGCTCAACAACAGCGTGAGTTGTTGTCGTGTAGTTGAGTTGAGTGCAGCTTGCAGTTGTTTCCGTCTCTCACCATCAAACAAAATAATGGAAGTTGTTTTAGTAGTGTTTGTTTCCACTGCAGAGCAAAGAAATGGGTGAATATTTTATTTAGAATGTTTTGATTTTCCAATTTAATTTAGAAAATGGAAATACAATAAAACAACCACGTAATTTGTTTTATGATTTTATTTTGAAACAGAATAACTAATGATTGAAGGGTACACGGATTATTGGTCAACTTTTTTGTTTTGTTTATTCAACTTAACAAGGAATTGTCTCAAATGATTTTTTTAAGTGTTATCTACCATTATTATAAAAAATGGTGGGTGATAGCTGTGCAAGGATTCAGAAGCTGCAATGATTATATTTGCCCACTAGATGTCAGCGTTACAACCTAGTATGAGCTCAGAGGCTTTGACAAATTTGATACAATCTGGTAAAGAAAGCCTTGGTGTGTAACAGGGCTTCATCTATCATCACTACAGAATTATAAGCCCAAGTCACAATAACAAAATACAACGCTGTATACTCAGTTTCCTGTTTAGTCCTCAAATGCCAAATCAGATTTGTTGTGTTGAATGCAGAGCTGCTGCTCCCACCTCTATCATAAAACGTCAAAAACCATTATTTGACGTTTCATAATGTGGCGATAAACCCATCCAGATTGATTTTACTCCCAGCTTAAAATCATAAATGGTTAATGACAAGGCCACGGAGCTGCAAATGGGACACGTATGAGATTTGAAGGCTAAAGGGCTAGACACACGGGAGGCGACATCGCATCGCCTCCATTCATTTCAATGGGACGTGCGCGACATAGCGTCAATCGCTAGCGAGCCTCCTGCTCAGCGACGGGCGAAAAACGTGCGTGTGAAATACTCCTGCTCGTGCATGTATCGTGCACGCGCAGGTCAGCGACGCGATCCCAGAAAGTTGAAATCGGCTCAACTTTTCGACGCTGTCGTCAAGCCGCATCGCGCCCCGTCTGTCATGTTATCTGAGCGACAGCGTTGAGTTTCGCTGATCGCTCTCATTTGTCGCCTCCCGTGTGTCGAGCCCATAAAGCTGTGAGTCTGATTAGGTCTCACATCAATGACCCGATTCAGTTAAAATGTCTAGCTTTAAGTTGAAATGTGGGAAAAAGATCAGATTTGGCAAAAGAGGCTAATCATGCAAAAATTATGACTAATGGAAAAAAGCATTAAAAAGAGTCAAACAAAGTCAAGAATTTTCTTGATTTTGAAATGAAGGAATGAAAGTCAGCTTCCTCCCCACCTCAATTCGCCTTTTAAACAGCTGAATTGGTGACCTGTTTTATGTATTTTATATTGCATTTCTGCTCTTTTACTGTATTTATTCTTAGATTGCGTGTCTGTGTTTTTGTGTACCCCCACCGGTGCTCTGTCTGTAAATGAAGTTCCTCACGGATTAATAAAGTTATTGAATTGAATTGAATTGAAGAATTGTATCTGGCTTAATTACAGTATATTTAAATGTACATTATTTGTGGTTTGAAAGTTAGGTACACCAGCTTTAAAACAACCAACATAAGTCTCACCGTCAGGCTGTGGGGCGAGGTTTGTAATGCGGAGGTGTGGACTGGGAACAGGCGCAGGGCAAACGTCTTTCCCCAAAGATGGAACCTTCGGTAACGTGAAGATGATTTCATATCTGTGCTGCGTCTTCAGGAAACCCACCTGCACCAAACACAAAGGGATCAAAGTCTAGTTTGGTGACCCCTACTCAGTCACATACAGTTTAAGAATGTTATCTTACCATTTACATTCAAATATACTGTGAGATTTCATAACACTTTGAAGCAACTTTTGTTAAAGTTAAACTCATCATTCTATCAATGTGCAGAAGCCAGTATTTTTCCCTTGTTGTGTCTATCTGAAGGCCAAGCTACATGGCACTGTGGCAGCTGCTGATTGGAGGTCTCCATGCCAACGCTCTGTATAATACACTGTGGCAGCTGCTGATTGGAGGTCTCCATGCCAACGCTCTGTATAATACACTGTGGCAGCTGCTGATTGGAGGTCTCCATGCCAACGCTCTGTATAATACACTTGCATTCTGTTGTATCTGTTGTTCGTGCTGTCTCTACCATCGACATTAAAACATGTCTTCTGTCGGAATTAAAGACGCGATCCCAGACTTTGTCATCTTCTTCAATACATCACATAAAAAAGATTCAAAGTTGTTCAAATCAATCTTTGTGTACATTCCAATTATGTTACAATCTTTGGAGGCCCCGTGACTTGGCTCTGGGGCCCCCCAGAAGTGCCTGAAAATTAGAATATTGTTCAGAAGTCATTTTTTGTAACTCGCAATAAAAAACTAATCATTACACACAAAGTGAGATATACCATCAGTTAGTACCATCAGTTATAGTTCTGACGCAGAGTCCACGTTGTGAAAGTGAGCGCCGCCATTACGGAACCACGTGGTCTCTCGGTGAACAGCTCATGCAGATTAAAACAGCGCATTCACGGGTCCAACTCTTTAAAACCACTCTTAAAATATCGATTTACTGCCAAACAGTAAACAGATGTCTTGTATGCACTTTTAAGTGTGAGTTACATTGTATTACCTGAACAAACCGTCATAAAGACGGCAGTGTGCTTCTGTTCAGCGCAGGCTGCTCCAGGTAAATGACTCTGCAAGAAGGCCCCTGGAGGAAGGCCCCTGGCGGAAAGCCTCGTTACTACTCACTACACTGCCCCCGTGTGGTGCACACCGGAATTGCAAGAGTCTCTAAATGGACAAATAATTGAATGGAGGTAGTTTAGAGTTCAAATAAAACTGATCCATGAGGATTTCATATAACACCATGGATGTAACTTTCTGTGTGCGTCTCACTTTGGAACAAACAGTTCAGTATTGAACTAAAAGGGGCTCTGTCTTTTCTTCTTGGGGGAACATAAGTGTCCCTTGTTTTGCCATCTGTACTTTTGCCTGGTGTTATAAATAATAATCTCACAATAGCAGGTAGCGGCGTGTCCCATCACCTGCAGGAGAATGTGGCTGCAGCTAAAGGAGCTTTAAGTTTATTGCTGAATTATCCCATAGTCCCTTCTGTTTTTATCCCTCTTCTCTCCAGGCTTTGTGTGTAATTATGCGCTCATTATTTTTTCCCCTTCACAGAGCTACCAGTGCTTAAGTGTTCTTTTGTGTGTAAAAATAAACTACCACTTTTATTTTCATTTTTTGAAAACCAAAGACACCAACACAAATCCTTAGAATCTCCTTCTACTTTCAAATTCAGACATCATTCAAACTCCCATTGTTTTTTACATTTCTTTGACAGTTTAGAGTGATTTAGCAGCGTGGCCATGAATCAGAGCTGTTAGTTACACAACAAGTTATCTATGTAACACAATCCATGTAACTAGTTTCTAGCTCTCAGAACAGTTCTGGTTCCGGCCTAAGTTTTGCCTGCATGTGTTTGTCTCTTTAGATCAGTAAAAGAGAGAGCTCAGTTTGTAAAGACAAACGTTTAAGACAGAATGCAACGGTCTCATTTGTGTAAACAAAGCTACTTAAACTTCCCTGAAATTTCCCTACGACGAATAAAGAATCTTTATCTTAATCTTAAACATAAACATAAAATTTCCCCACTGTGGGACGAATAAAGGAATTCTTATCTTATCTTTCTGTTGGGACAAACAAAATGTGCTTGAGAAACCAGTTAAAATAGGTCGTTTCCCAAACAATAATGACTTTCATGTTATACTGTGTCAATCCAACAAAAATTACTATAAATAACTCTAGTACATGACGTTAGTGCAGATCTCATGTTCTAATCATAGACTGTATATATTCATATTAATATTAATATATTGTTCTAATGCATGTCTAATCCTGATAATCATGTCCAATATGCAACTCTTTAGACACGCTCAGAAAAGTTCCCTCAAAACAATGATGCCATTCTCTTTAAAATGTCACATATTTTAGACAAATTCCAGAATTTGAATGAGAGTTTGGATTTACAGATGCAAGAATAATGGACACGATAAGATGAACCACATATAGGCAACAAAATAAGCATAGAATAAAATATGTTTAACTGTTAATTTATGGTTTAAAGTTTTAAAAAAATAGTTTGATAGAAGCAATATAACTACATATTACATTTTAAATCAGCCTGTATTTACCCGCTGCTGTTTTTAAATAAACACCTGCTTAACACAAATGCAAGCTGCGAGAGTGACAGAAAATGTGTTGTGCCTCGACACTTCTGAAGGCCTGAAAATTATACACCACAAAAAGCTGACATTACAGCTGTTATAGATACAATTTGGGAACATAAATAACATTTTGTAGGCAAAGAAGAGCGAAACAAGGACGTGCAACATCCAAACCGTTCATGGACTTCAGAGGACAATATAGACACATGTTACTAATGTACACACATGCTTTATACTGCAGCCACACCTGCCACGGGGCACACTGACAGCAGCGAGTCAGTCTCCAACCACCATCTTCTCTCAGTCACTCACCCCCTTCACACTGCTGCATGTTTTGGGCTGTGGGGGAAACTGGAGCGCCCGGAGGAAACCCACTCAGGCATGGGTAGAAACATAGAAACTCCACATAGAAGGCTGACACGGGATTGAACCTTCAACCTTCTTGCTGTGAGATGCCGCTGCATTTAGATAAGATTGCTTTATTTATCTCACAGAGGAGAAATGTACATGTCACATTTGGCATGGATAGGACACTCAGATTGTGCAAAGGGAGGAAATGTGCAAACATGTTACATGCAGGATATATGTACAATAAAGTGACAATAATTATGTACAACAAAAGAGACAAGTGTCAGTTGGAAACAGTGTCAATAGTAGTGCAGGTTTTCACACAGTGATCATTTAAAGTGACTTATTGTACAGTCTGACAGCAGTGGGGATAAAGGCCCTGCGGTAGCGCTCCTTCCTACACTGAGGGTGCCTCAGTCTTCCACTGAAGGAGCTCCTCAGCTCCTCTACATTTTTGGTTTTTACAATACTGTCTCTGATTAGTTTCGATTTAAGAATTAAAAAAACAATACATTCCATGGGACTAAAATGTTAAACAGGACATACATTAAGACACAGAAATAATTCACATTTTAAAAAGGTATATGGGAGGATTTTCTACCGCCGGGTGGATCATCAAGACTATTGGTCCTACCCAACTGTCAATCATTCTGGCGATACGTGCTCGTCCAATCAGACCAGAGAGTTTTGTATCTTTTGAACCCCTCTCCTCTCAGGCCGAGATTATCCTTCAAGCTTTTCCTTTAAAACCACTTCAACGGTACTTTACAGCCTCTTGAAGCAAGAGAATCACTCTGTCCTGCTGTTAATAACAATAACACTCAGATCATTGGACCAAGAGTTCAGAGTCAGAGCAACTGGAGCAGAGCCATTTGTCAGCTGCTGCTTTGTGTAAACTCATTCACGCTTAAGAATCATTTTCACATTATTTGTACCTGAACTCAAAGCTGTAGGATACAAAGGAATGAATGGTGTCCTTGCGTGGCTTTATGGTCCATGATGGTTTTATCTACAGCTGATTTATGAATATGATGAGGGTCATAATCTAACTATAATCCATAGTTTTGTGAATCTAAATCAGTATCAAAGAATTAAAACATTTGAGCAATTTCTCTTTCAATGTTTATTTAAAAAAAAGGCGATTTTCCAGTAGAATTGTTTTTGCACCTGATAGAACTCTTGAATATGAATGCAACCTATAGATAATAATATAACTTCCTGAATGAACAGAAAGACAAAACAAGGACATTTACACATTACATTTAAAAAGCATAAAAACTATCATAGGGGCTGCTTGGTGCCTGAAGCCGCGGAGAGGCGAGTTGGGTCCGGTAAAATTGTATGACGCGCTAAATTAGTGTAGAAAACAAACGAAGGCTGGATCCAGCTGCGATGACATTGATTTAATTAATAATAAACGCTGCGGTCACAGGCCAAAATGTGTAGTGTATACAGAAAAATGATAAACTCAAGTAAGAAAAATAGCAAAAATAAATCAAACAAAACAGACCTCTCTCCTCTTTCCGTGCCCCTGCAGGTGTATGCCCATTCATAATCTCGTGTACCGCGCCCAGAACACACATGCACGCCCACACACGCGCCTACACACACACACACACACAGGCCCTCACGCACACGCCCACACACGCGCCCACACACACACACACACACAGACAGGCTCTCACGCACACGCCCACACACACACACACACAGACAGGCCCTCACGCACACGCCCACACACACACAGACAGGCTCTCACGCACACGCCCACACACACACACACAGACAGGCTCTCACGCACACGCCCACACACACACACACAGACAGGCTCTCACACACACGCCCACACACACGCACACAGACAGGCTCTCACGCACACGCCCACACACACACACACACACAGACAGGCTCTCACGCACACGCCCACACACACACACACACACAGGCTCTCACGCACACGCCCACACACACACACAGACAGGCCCTCACGCACACGCCCACACACACACACACACACACAGACAGGCTCTCACACACACGCCCACACACACGCACACAGACAGGCTCTCACGCACACGCCCACACACACACACACACACAGACAGGCTCTCACGCACACGCCCACACACACACACACACACAGGCTCTCACGCACA